CACGCACACACACTCACACGCTTGCTTCATGCAGATCATACTGGGTGCTTTCTGGTTCACCTGTAGTCGTGGAAGCGGGCGATGTCATAGCGGTCAAAGATGTCCTTCCAGCTGTAGATGTTAACGACGCCCGTGGCCACTGTGATGAGCAGCATCAGGGTAAGCTTAACCATGTGACTGACCTGAACCAGCATTGTGGTGGCCATCAGTGCCAGCACAGCAACGTAGCTGTAATATTTGGGATTGTTCAGGCAACCTTCAAGGCTGGACACGGTGGACAACGAGGAGGAGGGGGCCACTGTGGTGGTGTCTGAGTCTGGGACCTGAGGCAGACAACTAAGCTACACAGCAGACAGGCACGAAGCCATCAGCTTTACCATTATTCAAATTTGCAATATCTGTCCCCCACAATAAGCTCCAGAGTTTTTATGTTGTATTGGCTCTAGTTTTAACATAATTCACCTGCTTACTGGCAAAAAGGTGCATTTAGCCTAGATGTTAAAAACAAATGAGGAGCTCACCATGTCCATTATGTCAGCCATGGTTAGGATGAAAATGGCGGTCATGGCCCAAGTGTTGCGAGCCCAACGTGTGTGGTCAATCCAGGTGGAGAAAGACACCAGCTTTTTGGCAAAGACCTGACATGAAATCCATCCATTTAGTAACAAAAGCTTTTATTCATGAACAGTCATACTGTCACTGTGGCTGAGACAAACAACATAATGTGTTTTGGTCACAGATGTGTGAAAGGTTAAAAGAAAAACTTCTCATGTGTCAAACATTTAGGCTTTGCTTTGGGTAATAATTCATGGTTGAGGTACACAGACCTGCAGCACAACTCTGATCTGAGATAGCGCTACAGTGTTAAAATTCACATTACTACACAGTAACAGCATAGTGTACATTGTATACTACATGAAAGTGTACTCGGGGAAGTCACTGAATTGACACACACTATCTGACAAAAGCAGCTGTACACAGCTGCATGGATGGGTTTTAACATGACAGACGCTTTTAGGTGTCTCGAAGCCTTTCACAACACCAGAACTGTGAGCCCGGGCATTGTTAATCCTCTCACCTATGTTGATCTTTCTGGAGTAAAGATGACCACATATTTAGCCTCTTTAAACGGACACTGCAGGCCTAGGACGTTGTTATATTGGATGTAGCACTGATAAGTCCTGCAGAGCTACATGCAGTGTTTACAGTGACCTTGCAGTTCTCGGTCCGTGTAATCAGTGTGTGCTGCAGCCCTGAGCTGAGCGGAGGCCGTGACATCAGCTGTCAATATTCACCCGACTGCAAAATATCAATACATCTAAATTTCCATGAAGAGGGAGGATCAAAAGTACTGCCTGAAAAAGTACTCTATGATAAACACACGGCTTTTTTCCATGACTTCAGAAGATCACACATTTATCCAGTACATGGCAGGCACATGTGGCTCAGACTTAAACTTTAACCCTGGTCTTAAGCATTAAACTTACTTACCTGAATTACATGTCAAAATTGAATTAAGACAGTTTTGTAAACATTTTTCCTTTTTCTGTTGTTAGCTGCATATTAACTGGTTGTTAATTAGATTTTTGATATCAATAAACAAACAATCTTTGTATATAACGTAACATCACTGCACCCACTATCATCTAAATTTAAAAAGCAAAAAAAAGGAATAATTTTCAAGGTTGGTCCTTATTTTAGTCATTTCATATCTATTGTTTCAGCTCCTCTGAACTCTCAGTATAATCTCTCTCTACCCATTTCTCTATTTGTGACTCTACAGGAGACGCATGTAAGTGATGCAATCATAGAGGTGTTTGAGAGTAGCAGTTATACTGACTCGTGAAATGAACGATACGGGAGGAAAACAGTTCTAAATCTGTGTAATGTCACCACATTTGCAGAGAACGTTGTTTCTCCTCAACTTATTTGTCTAGTAGGTGTTTTTGTGTGTGAAAAACTGGGCTGTGTGAGGGGAGGGTACAGTAAAGACTGCAGCAGATGATACACTGTCTATATGGGAAAAGCCCAAAACCTCCAAAACAAACTTTTAGAATTGTAGGTCTGAGTTTAAAACATTTGAAGAGCCGATGCATGATTTGCACATTTGGGACCACATTTAGTGGAAACTTATTTCTGTCTCACATCAATGGCCAATTAGAGTCACCAATTAGCTTATCATCCAATATCTTTGGACAATGGGAAACTTGGATTTTAACTCAAGTGATAATCTTTTCCTAAACCTAACAAAGTACTTTTAGGACCTAAACGTAACCAGAGCGAGCTAAAGGGAAACTAAACAACACTTTAGTTACAACTTTATGAAGACAAATAACTGATACATTTTCCATACCGTGTTAGCAATTAAAAATCAGTAGTAACACTTTGTTAACATGATTTCCAACATTAGCATAGCCCCAATACTGTGACAATATGTGGACAACTGTGTGAGAGAAAATGCCACTGGTGCTTTCCAGAGGATTGACTGTGAGCACAGTGAGAGAAGAAGGCAATGACCCATAAGTCGCTGAGAGGTTACATATATCCAAACGATCCCACCACTTGCTTGTAAACAATTTAACGAAACAAATTCAGCGTGTGTTTAATCGATTCTGTATCTGAACAAGGTTGTAAAAGAAAAGAAAATCCTCCTAATCACATTGTAAATGAAGTCTAAGAATGTGTTATAACTCACTCTGGGGAAGATGGCAGCCAGAGAACAAATGGTCAGGATGAGCAGTAAGACCTCCCCCACTGCAAAGGTGATGTAGTTTGCAATCAGCCTGTTCCAGAACACGTGAACGTAGTGGAGAGTAATTAGTGAGTTATTATTATTACAGTTATGACTTCCAGTTTACACTGCCAAAGTGTGTAGGCTTACTTTTGCTTTCATTTGCTTTTGTTCTTAGGAGAGTAGGTGATATAAACCATCCTGCCCAAAATGTGAATGAGTAAAACAGACCTGTGAACTCACCAGGGGTCTATGAGCGCCTCCATCACTGCAGTAAAGAGCAGAACCACACAGGAGCAGCAGAAGGCAGCCCCGCTCTGTTTCTCCTTCTCCACAGAGAAACGTGTTTCCAGCTCTGGATCCACAAACCTGAGGGACAGCTTGTTGGTGTGTTTCCCCTTCAGACTGAGGAACAACAAGCTTAGTGACAGTGAATGCAGCACACTGGTTGTAACGTTATTAACATTTTATGGAAGTGAAGCGATTGAAGTGAATGGTCTGACCTGGGCAGGCGCGGTGGAGGTGGAGCTTCCATGATTGGTCACGCCAGAATGTGGTTGCCTTAGTGAGATACCGCGCTTGATTTTCAGAGAACCAGGGTCACGCCAGTAACCAAACAACACCAATGACAACATGGACTGATTACGTCTTATTTATGGTATTTTAAGACAGGTGCGTTTGTTTAGAGTAAGAGTTGGAGTTTGCCAATTTGCAAACAAACACTATAACATATTATACCACGAGCAAGAAAAGGAAATCTCTGCTGCCTACTTGAACTTCAATCAGAGATTTGGTTTGATCACTGGCTCCACTTTTCCCACATGTGGATACAAGATTGGAAGGTTAAAGATTATTAAATATACTGCTCAAAAAATTTAACTACCACTTCAAAAACACATAATGGAATTTAACTGAAACTCAACTGATGGTTCCCTTTCAAAGCTCACTTGGTATCTCACAGTGGGAAACACTCTCTGATGTGACCAATCATGGAAGCTCCACTACAACATCTGTCCAAACCAGACAACAACTTCAAGGACATGGTGTTCCTCAACCCCCTTATAATAGCCAATGACCCCACACCAGGCATGCTTGTTTTCTTTCCTGTCAAGATCATAACAGCTTACTTAACTTTGTACTGATGCAGCCGTTAATGTAGTCCAGGATGATGGGTTTTCCTGGTTTTCACGAATATCTATTACACTATAGTACACTTTTATTTACTTTTAGAGCGGTTGTTGCAATACTGCTACCTGTGTGTTATAAAACTAGCTTGTTGTTTCATATTTGTGGCTATTGCTAGATGTCAAAGCTAAGCTTTAGTAATTAATCAGAACCAGAATAACTTAAGTGGCACAGTGGTTAGCACTGTGGCCTCACAGCAAGAAGGTCCTGAGTTCAAGTCCACCATCAGGTTGCGGTCTTTCTGTGTGGAGTTTGCATGTTCTCGTCATGTTTGCGTGGGTTCTCCCACAGACATGCAGTTATTGGGCTTGGGTTTTATTGGTAGCTCTAATTTGCCCATAGGTGTGAGTATGAATGGTTGCTTGTCTCTGTGTGTTAGCCCTGCGATAGACGGGCAACCCCTCCAGGGTGTACCCTGCCTCTCGCTCTAAGACAGTTGGGATAGCCTATGGCAGATGTCACTCTGGCTCCACAGTGCCAGGCAGCGACTAGTGGTGCAACGGATCAAAAGTCTCACGGTTTGAATCGGATCACGGTTTTAAGTCACGGATCAAATCGATTTTCGGATCAGCAAAAACAGAAAAAAGGACAAAATTTTAACATTTACTTATTTAAGTATTTTTTGTCTATTAAAAACATTCAACTCAAGATTCACTCCACACAGTTATATAAAAACAAATTAAGGTGCAATATAGGGCAGTACAGGGCTTTGAGCTGTCATTTGTAGTTGGGCAACAGAAGATGCCTGGATCAGTTCAGCCCAGAAGGGAATGTCAGGACTTCAGGTATCTCAGACATCGGTCCTGCTGATGGGTTAATCATTTTCTGCCGCCCTGTCCAAGAGTAACTGCCGTTATCTTGGAATGTCCTACGTGGCTGGAGATTCCACAAACGTTCTGGCAATGGGATGTATTGATGTGTCATCTGGGTGAGTTGGACTACCTGTGCAACCTCTATAGGGTGCAGGTATCGCCTCATGCCACCAATACTGACACTGACCTTGCGAAATGCAAAACTAATGAGAAAAAAGTAATGAGGAAGGAAAAAAATGCCACCAAAAAACTATGGCCTGAAGTAGACTGAACCCAGGATTCACTGTGTTGGTGACTGACCACCACAGCCTAACCATAACCTTTTATCTTCCACAAAGAGTGGAAGATAAGTGACAAAGATGTCATGTGTAATATTTATGAAAACAGCAAAAAGCTGTAAATGGTATTGTCGGTGTGGAGACATTTAAAAGTACCAACAGTCAACCTGTCAACCCCTCACTCAGTGATAACCCACTGAAGCACCAGCAGCATAACAAATGGTAAATGGACTGATTCTTCTATAGCGCTTCTCTACTCTGCTGAAGTACTCAACATGCCACATTCACACCCATTCTCACAAGCACTTTCTCTGTACTTATTATTAGTCCTTTATTTATCCAGGTAAAAAATCTCATTGAGATTAAAAATCTAATTTTCAAGAGAGACCTGGCATCATGGCAAAAAAGGCAACTCATCCGGTTGTTAAGTGATGACGTGACGAATCCTACTTCCGGGTCTAAAGTAGTCTGCGTTTAATATGGCTTTTGTGTTGTTAACATGTTTAATGTTTTGTATTTTCTTCTATTTGATCTCAAAAAGCTCCTAAAACAGTCAGTGATCCCTGTTGACCTCCCTCAGCTTTTATTACCGCTAATCATTTATTTAAGCTCAGTTTTTAAAACCTTAGGATGTAGCTACAGCCCAGCCCATGCAGCAGTATATGAATGACTAACCTCGTATTGTGGATGGATTATCTCAGTTGTTCTCCTGGCTGAAGTTTGGTCCTTTTACAGCATCCTGCCATGCGATTACATTTGTTCCTGACCACCGAGAACACTCACGTTAACTTTTATCGAGTGGAAAAAAGTTAGCTTGTTTATATTATGCTAACATAGCTGTGTCGCTAGCGGTCACGTAGCACATCATTATATACCAGCTAGCCCAACTTCAGTAACCCTACAAACGTCACTGCTGTTTAGTTTTCTGTCTTCATTTATGTTGGAAGTGATAACAGAGCTGTACGTTTTAATTTGTTTCCAAAACCCCGCAGTCAGGACATGCTATATTGTATTTAGATAGAAGCTAGCGAGCTAACTCCCTGCTAACTTCTAACTCCGTTAAATGTCATAAATTCCGTTTTCATGGATGCCTGGATGTTAAACTCAATTGTTACACCTGGTAGAGCAGAACGCTGATCATTTTATTAAAGATGAAAGACTTTAGACAGTTTTTCAACTCTCAGTAATGCCACAGTGATCGTTTGATATATGGACCTGCAGCAGAGTTTAGGCCCAGACACGGCTAGTGACGTCAGACTGAACGACCGGATTGCTTTCTAACTACATTCACACACATTGCATTGGAGAGCAACTTGGGGTTAGTATCTTGCCCAAGGATACTTGACATGTAGACTGGAGGAGCCAGGAATCGACCCACAGGTCACCTACTTCCGATCAGTAGGTGACCAGCTCTACCTCCTGAGCTACAGCCACCCCAGGAAAAAAGAAACCAGTATCGCTGATCGGCACCGTCACAGTGATGTGAGGCTATTCACTTACGCTTGAACCGTTTCTCTCTCCAGCAGAGCTTCATTAAGGAGTTTGTTGAGCTCCTGTTCATTCTCCTGAGCATCAATCACCCGTTCAGCCAGGTCCCGCAGCCTCAGCCTCCTTCGGGGATTAGGAAACGATGGGTTCACCACCTGCAATCCAAAGGTTAGAGTACAGTTTAGGATTTCTTGCCTCCTCATAAAATGGGAGTCTGCTCTTTATCCAATTCACAAGTATAGACTAACTAAATAGATAAGCAAAGCATGCTGGAAAAAATGAGGTTAATTCTGGAGGATCTAGAGCAGGGGTGGGCAACTCCAGGCCTCGAGTGCCGGTGTTCTTTCACTCCTCTTTTAAACCATCTGTCTTCTCTGTCCAAAATGTGAGCACTGACATCGTCAAAAGGGTGACCTTTGACCTTTAAATGCAGACAGAGTCTTGTCCCGTGGAGGTGGCTCTTCTATGTTGTCCCATGTGATTATGAAGTGGCTGTTTGGTCTATAGGTACTGTTGTCACTGAGGAGTGTAGTAATTTTTGTGTGTGTTTAGAACAACGGTGCACCTTCCCGTGCCAGCTGGTGATATGGTGATGTTGTGGTCTTTGCTCAGGTAAGTGACGACCTTCAGGTCATCTTCCGATGAGCTACAGCCACGCTAATGCAAAATGGGAATGAGAATGCCAAAGTGTGGCACAATCAGAACAGACAAGGACAGGAAAAAAAGCAGCACTGTGTGATGAAGGACTTTCAGGCACCTGTTAATGTGTGAAAACCAGGGCTGGGTATCGTCACTGATTTCTAGAATCGATTCGATTTGAATCGGAGAAATTTTGCCTGAGAAATATTATAAATATAAATATTATAATTTATTTACAATATTTATTATTCATTATAATATTATAATTCTGATCACTTATCAGTACATATCTATATTTTTAGATCGATAAAAAGGAAGCTGACACCAGACTTTATCAGAGGTGTGAGCGTCACAGCAGAGGCCTTTGTGTCAAAGTAACTGAGCATAAAACAGAAAAACATGAAGGCGGTTTTCCTGGTCTGGGTTTTTATAGCAGATGACCTTAAAAATATTGTGCAGTAGATCAAAAACAAAGTGAAGCAGAGCAAAGTTACAGCGGTTTGATTAGAGACACAGCTGAGCGTTTTGCAATTTTGCATAATTTGTTTACGTTTGTTCAGTAATGAACAGCAGAAATGAGGCTCTCGTGTCGGAAGTAAAAAAACAAAAACAAACAGCGGGCGACAGCGTAGACTGGTGGGTAGTCAGTAAGGGTGGGTTTTGATTATCGATGTAGAGAGAGCGAGAGAGAGCTCTACATGAAGTGTTTATCCTGGTGGAAGCAAAACAACAAAAGTCGGAGGAAATTCGTGACGATGTTTATGTGAAGCTAGTTTGGATCTTCTTTGTCTGCTGGTTCAGTCAATGTTGTTTGGAGAGAGATCAAACCTGCAGCTTCTGAATCAGCGCCAAAAGGACGTAAACACAAAGCGCCCGCCGACGCTTCTAAATCAGCGAGCTGTCGGCTTTCAGCCCCGACGGCGTGTCCGCGTCCGTGTCGTCGGGTGAGAAAGTCACATCTCACTGATCCTGATGCGTCGGCGGCTTCGCGCTTTGTGTTCACGTCTTTGTGCAGAATCAGTGTTCCTGCTCTCATTTACTGTTTCAGCTGTTTGGTGGTTGTTGAAATTTTGTGAGGTTTAACCTGAGATTCTGGTGTTTCGGGCAAAATAAATTCATATTAAAAATTGATTCAGGATTTTAATGAATCAATATCATGTTATCCAAGCCAGAATCGATTTTAATCAATGAATCGATAATCAAAACCCAGCCCTAGAGAAAACACCATCTCTTTGGTTACCCTTGTGTCCAGCTCCTCTGGTTCCTCTGGTGTGGTGCAGGCTGTGTGAACACTGCCATTACAGTCTGTGGTGTTGATCAGCAGAGGGGAATTTCCATTGGACGAGGTTACGGACAGTTTCTAATGTGAAACAAGCAAACAGCAAGTGCTGAGTTTATTAGGAAGAACTTTTGTTTGTATCATGCATTGTGGATGTTCGACATACAGCAACATATTCACAACATGTAAACGCTGAGTATAGAAATACTTGCAGAGCAGTATGGAGCGTTTTACTTACGACGCTGTTAATGCCATTCTTTCCCACAGGTGCTTTTGGAACAACCACCAGGTAGGTGTCTATGCCTCTCTCCCTCAGGTAGTCACAGCGGTCACCGCCATTCCCCGGCTCCACATCAAACTCACCATGAAGACACTCCATGGTGCTTTGTGAGATGTGCACACGGCTGTACACACATACAAGGTGGCGCAGATTACACGGGCCATTGTTCTACCAACTGTACTTCCACATTAAGTGCTGTGCAAAGTGACGCTTTGTGTATGAGTATTTTGGGTTATGCATTTATTTCCCCAATCTAAAATATCAATACACACTGAATGTAAATATATGCACAACATTTAAAGCCTAAACTTGTGATAATAACACAAAAACCACAAAGAATTAAAGCAGTTTAAAGTAAAACATTTGATGGTGAGGTTCACAGCAACAGATTCGTCTTCTTATCCGGTTATTGGGAGGAAATCATGACAGCTTTTTTAAACGTATGAATATAATAATATAACTTCCAATTATAAATGTTAAAAAAAACAGTATGAAAATACATATCACTGACATTCAGTTTCAACCAAAATAACCACAAGAGAGCACCAAGCTGCTGTGAAGCTGGTGATACAAAAAACAGAGAAATATCCAATTAAGGTGCAGAGAGCCTGCTGTTAGCAGACAGACAGAAGAATCAGACCATTAATCGATCACATGGTAGCAACTCAATTTAGACATGTAGACATGGTGGAGATGACGTGATGAAGTTCAAAGCAAGAATCAGAAAAAAGACGATTTAAGTGACTTTAAAGTTGTTGGTGTCAGACTGACTGATCTACTGGAATCACTTCTCCCGAGTGTTTACAGAGGGAGGCCAGAACAGAGGAAATATCCAGTGAGCATCAGTGCTCTGGGTGAAAACATGACCAGAAAGCTTACAGCGAGGCAGCAGGTCGCGTCAACACAACATGTAAGCTAAGGACCAAAGTCTCTGAGGAATGTTAGCAGCACCGTGTTGAATCGCTCTGTCAGTTTTAAAGGCAAAAGTGGTTTAATTAGGTAACAGTGAGTGTCTTTAGTTTCAGGTTCAGTTTCAGATCTCTTAGCCAATTCATGCAGCATCAGCATCATTTGTTTCTGGCTGGGAATAGTCCAGCGACTCTTCTCTGAAACACACCAAGTAGCTGATACAGACAAAAACATGATATAAATGTTTGGTTCAGAGTAAGAACTTTATTCACATCTCCAGTGACCTAAAAACTAAAACGCAGCACATCTGCTTTGTGCATGTTATTTACATGAGCCGACACATGAAAACACTCACATCGAAGGAGAAATAAGGAAAATGGGACCATGTGAGAAACACAGTCCAATCAGTATTGATCAATGCAACTACGCTGTAGTGTGAAGCTGATGTTCTCACCCTGGGATCCCTCCAGCCTCCATTTTATTGGCCACTGTGACATCTGTGGACCAAACATCATACTGCCAACGTTTCTGGCCCAGCACTCCTCCCAGGACCGTACCACTGTGCACTCCAACACGCATGTCCACATCTGTCTGAGTTTTCTCTCGGACATACCTGTGGTCAGTTCAGAAAGCAGCAGCGTTAAAAACAAAGCACAGGTAGCATTTTTTGGAGTAATAATCAAGCTGTCTCAAAGCCTGATTACCACAAAAGAAGAAAAACATTCCAGCAATACAGGAAACAGCGTCTCTGGCGTGCCACTAAACGCCATCCATCCGTGCACAGCAATGTTCTGGAGCCTGACCAACATGATGGATCACAATCAATTTGTGTTTAATGACCTCTCATTGTTACATCACAGCTACAATCCACAAAAAGTCAATAAGAGTCCATCAGTGTGATCAATCCCACACTGTGGACAGAATGACTAACCCACTACATCCCATAATAACGTAGATGAAACTGTCTGATCTTTGGAAAAGCTTAGAATCAGGCAGTTATCCCAGGCCGCCCCTCCTCACGCGTGCTCATTCATACTCACGAAATGGCCTCCACCATGGCCAGGCCCATCATGATAGAGCAGGCGGCGTGGTCGTCCCTGTAGTCCGGCAGCCCACAGATACAGTAGTAGCAGTCTCCCAGGATCTTGATCCTTAGCTGGTGGTATTTCTGAAAGGCAGGTCTGCTTTAGTCAGACAGTGGATCAAGATCGGACATAAATCACGAGCTCGCTGTCCAGCTGTCTTCTTAGCAGGTCTAACAACAGCAATGGGTTAAACTGCTAGAAACACATACATGCAATGGATGGCAGTTAGCACAGGCTGGATGGAGGCGAGCACACAGGCTGTCTTTTTACTTCATTTCCTCATAGGCTAAGCTTAATCTTGGGCATTAAGCTACTCCTGTTACTAATTTTAATAAGAAATAATGCGAAAAAGCACTTTGATCTATGATAGTACACTATATGGTGTTTAGGGGACTGCGAACATTATTGACATATTATTAATGCTAACATATTAAGCTAGGCAACCTAGAAGGATAGAGCAGATACCCATAAAATTAGTTCCAGACTGGTGAAACCTTATGCAAGCTTTGACATTTGGGCTCATACACAACCTGGGTACATGTTCACAGCCAGTACGGAGTCGTGCAGTAGCACTTCCTAGATGATGACAAACTGGGGTGCAGCCTCATACCAATTAAGACAGGATCTCTACAGAGAAATATTTGCACATGAGCATGCAGAACCTGTAGATAACATACAGGACTCTGGCACGAGTTTGGTTTAGGTTGTAAGTCATGTTGGACTGTAAACAATGAACGGCATACAGAACAGTAAATCTTGCCTGGAGATAGGGCACCCACATCCTGTTAAACGCCAAAAGATCTCACTAAACAAAGTTTATTTTCTAAATATGGTTTTCACAGTGTCACAGTGGAATTAGCACTCCACAGTGTTGCAGTTCACACATTGGCCTAACAAACAAAATCCTGTTCGATTCTGGGAGGAGTCAGCAAGGGCACCCAGCAGAAGATATCTGCCAAATCATCAAACATGTGCAGCTACCCACTGTGGCAATCCCGTGTGAACAAGGCAACAGCCAAAAGCAGCTTTGTCTAATAGTGCCAGAGGTGTGGACTCGAGTCACATGACTTGGACTCGAGTCAGACTCGAGTCACATGACTTGGACTCGAGTCAGACTCGAGTCATTAATTTTATGACTTTAGACTTGACTTGAAAAAATGTTCTAAGACTTGTGACTTGACTTGGACTTTTACA